CCACAATTAAATTTCTGGTAATGTAGATGCTTTCCATACTTGAGATGTTAGTGAAGTTTTTCCAACAATTTAATTTCCTTGATCGCCGTCTTAACAATGCAAAATCATCAGTTGAAATTTCACTCGTGTTGTTTTTTCAAATTTTCGAATTTTTGTAAAATATCGCGTGCGCCAGCAATTTCTCTGCACAGCGACAACAAATTTCCCAGCTGTTCCCAACTGCTCAAAATTTCTTTATTTTTGACAAAAATTCCTTTGATGAAGATGAATTTTACCTAGTTTAAAACTGCATGATATTACAAAAATTTATCCTGAATGACGGTGTATTTCTCGGGCGAGAAACACCATGAACGTGCACCCGTTCCGCACGTTGTAACCAATAGTTTATTGGCGTTGTAATGCCATTGTATGCAATAAAGTATTGGGTTGTAACTGAAAACAAAACCACAACCACTGCACAAAAGTTTTAGTTATAAGTGTAATTGGCCTTGCTTGGTGGATGGAGGGGAGGCGGTAGGGAAAGGTTAGGTTGCGGGGTTAGCAGGTGGGGTTAGGGGTTAGGGGCTAGAAGGTGGGGTTAGGGTTAGGGGTTAGGATTAGGGTTAGGGTTTGAGTTAGGATTAGCGTTTGGATTAATTGTAAATCCATTGTAACCAATACTTTATTGCATACAATGGCATTACAACGTCAATAAATTATTGGTTACAACGTGCGGAACGGCTGGAACGTTGCAATTATAAATTATAAATTAATTATAAAAAAAAATGCAACAGGAGGCTTGAGATCATGCCTCAGAAATTTTTCAGATTTTCCATTCCCCAGGAGTAGGATTTGGATTTTCGACATTTCCATCGCGAATTTGCTTGGGAATTGCTATAATCTTAGGATTTACTAGAAATAACGTAATATCCTTATTTCCTAGCCTGAATGTCAGACGAATAACGAATTATATTCGTCTGAGAACATTCGTCACTAATCTTGCCTGCTCTAATTAGCATAATTTAGCATAAATTTTGCATAATTACGTATCTGAGAAAAACAAAATGGCGTTTGCTATGAGCGACACTGAGTTTCGAACGACCATGTGAGCGATAATATCCTTTGGACGAGTACCGCATTGCATTTCCCACAGATTTTTTTTATATTTTAAACCAATGAGCTGCACTCTTTGTCGTGTTATAATAGAGAAAGCTTATCAGCGTTACCTGGTAGATGGAAAGGCAAAGTTCCATGTACGTGCTTCTCTCTCTGGTCTGCCTTTTGCCGTAGAAATCGACTCTGTATATATTTGTAAATCGTGTTTGGACAAGCTAAAGCAACTTGACAATCTAAAAAGACAGGACCGGGAACTGCTTGCTATACTAAAAGGGCTTGTCACTTCGAGTAAACGCGTCCTAGAAACTCGCGAAAGTTCTCTTGCCAGCTCGCCGCCAGAATCGCTTGAACGTGTTAATATAGCGAAAAGACCATGTATTGAATCTACGTTTAGACCGTTTGTAGCACCTTTATCACCTGTATCAGTGCAAACTGGTTGTTGGTCGTCGATTCCTAGTGTAGAAAGCCCTTCTTCACCGCGTGATAGCTCGGTTGTTCACCATTCGACACCAAGTAAACAGCCAGACACATTCCCAACAAGCTCACGACAATCTGGTGTTGTAACTGTAAAGTTACAGTGGTCAAATGATAAAAACGAAAGAGATTTACCAGATGACTTGCAGTCTTTGGGTAAAATGCTTGTTCACGGTACTTACAAGCAAATAGCAAATGCTGCATGGAAAAGTGCTGCTCTTCGCAAACAACTACAGATTGTAGCATTGATTAAACAGATTGATTCAGAATGCAATGGGTTGTGTTCGACAAAACAACCAAGCTGTTTGAGATCCCCCAATAAGGACAAATTGCTGGACTTTTCACTTGA